GGACAGATCACCTTAGGTCAGGAATTTGAGACCAGCCTGGCCAACACGATGAAACCCTGGCTCTACTAAAAACACAAAAATCAGCTGGGTGTGGTGGCACACACCTGTAGTCCCAGCTACCTGCAAGGCTGAGGTAGCAGAATCACTTGAACCCAGGAGGTGGAGGTTGCAGTGAGCTGAGATTGTGCCACTGCACTCCAGTCTGGGCGTCAGAGTGAGACCCTGTCCCCCCTCCCCCCTCCAAAAAAGGAAAAGATTAAAGATGACTATTAAAATATGCTGGGAAGGATGTAGATGCACATGTGTGTATGCTTTAAGACAGAAAACACATACACGGCACATGCACACAGTAATGAGAGAAGTTAAAAACAAAAGTAGGGTTGGGTGCAGTGGCTCACATCTGTAATCCCAGCACTTTTGGTGGCAGAGGTGGGTGGACCACTTGAGGTCAGGAGTTTGAGACCAGCCTGGCCAACATAGTGAAACCCCGTCTCTACTAAAAACACAAAAATTAGTTGGGTGTGGTGGTGGTACACGCCTGTAATCCCAGCTACTTGGGAGGCTGAGGAAGGAGAATCGCTTGAACACAGGAGGCGGAGGTTGCACTGAGCAAAAATCACGCCACTGCACTCCAGCCTGGGTGACAGAGCGAGACTCCATCTCAGAAAACCACCACCAAAAAACCCAAAACAAAAGTAGTTTGTGGCGATCAAACAGTACTATATCTTGATAGTGATGGTAGTTTTATCACTCTACATGGAATCCACTGCACAGACATATACACACACAAATGAGTGCATGTAAAAACTGGTGAAAACTAAGTAAGGTCAGCAGACTAGTTGATGGCATAACACCATTTTTCAATTTCTTGGTTTTGATATTGCCCTACAGTTTTATGATACGTGACCACTGGGGGAAGCTGGAGGAGTGGTTCAAAGAACTCTGGGTACTCTTTTGCAACTTCCTATGAATCTACAGTCACTTCAAAAAAAATTTGTTTAATAGAGAAAAAAGAGCCAAGTGCAGTGGCTCATGTCTATAATTCCAGTAGTTTTGGAGGAATGCTTGAGCCCAGGAGTTCAAGAACAGCCTGGGCAACACAGCAAGATCTAGTTTCAACAAAAATAAAAGTTAGCTGGATAAGGTGACACATGCCTGTTGTCTTAGCTACTCAGGACACTGAAGCAGGAAGACTGCTTGAGTCCAAGTCTGAAGTTACAGTGAGCTATGACTGTTGATATGGTTTGCCTCTGTGTCCCCACCCAAACCTCCTCTTCAATTGTAGCTCCCATAATTCCCACGTGTTGTGGGAGAGACCCGGTGGGAGACAATTGAATCATGGGGGCGGTCTCCCCAATACTGTTCTTGTGGTAGTGAATAAGTCTCACGAGATCTGATGGTTTTATAAGGGGTTTCCCCTTTCATTTGGCAGATTCTGATTTGCCTGCCACCATGTAAGATGTGCCTTTTACCGTCCACCATGATTGTGAGGCCTCCCTAGCCACGTGAGTCCATTAAACCTCCTTTTCCTTTAAAAATTATCCAGTCTCAGGTCTATGTCTTTATCAGCAGCGTGAAAATGAACTAATAAAGTAAATTAGCGCCAGCAGAGTGGGGAGCTGCTATAAAGATACCTGAAAATGTGGAAGCGACTTTGGAACTGGGTAACAGGTAAAGCTTGGAACAGTTTGGAGGGCTCAGAATAAGACAGAAAAATGTGGGAAAAGTTTGGAACTTCCCAGAGACTTGTTGAATGGCTTTGATCAAAATGCAGATAATGATATGGACAGTGAAATACAGGTTGAGGTGGTCTCAGATGGAGATGAGGAACTTGTTGGGAACTGAAGTAAATGTGACTCTTACTATGTTTTAGCCAAGAGACTGGTGACATTTTGTCCCTGCCTCAGAGATGTGTGGAACTTTGAACTTGATGGAGATGATTTAGGGTACCTGGCAGAAGAAAATTATAAGCAGCAAAGCATTTAAGAGGTGACTTGAGTGCTGTTAAAAGCATTGTTTTATTTATTTTTATTTTTTACTTTTATTTTTTGAGATGAAGTCTTGCTTTGACACCCAGGCTGGAGTGCAGTGGGGTGATCTCAGCAGTGCAGTGGGGCAATCTCAGCTCACTGCAGCCTCTGCCTTTCAGGTTCAAGTGATTCTCCTGCCTCAGGCTCTCAAGTAGCTGGGATTACAGGCACCCACCACCAGGCCCGACTAGTTTTTGTATTTTTATTAGAGATGTGGTTTCACCATGTTGGCCAGGCTGGTCTCAAACTCCTGATATCAAGCAATCCACCTGCCTTGGCCTCCCAAAGTGCTTGGATTAGAGGCATGAGCCACCGCACCCAGTCGGCATTCAGTTTTAAAAGAAAAAAAGAGCATCAAGGTTTGGAAAATTTGCAGCCTCAGGATGTGATAGAAAAGAAAAACCCATTTTGTGAGAATTGCAAGCCAGCTGCAGAACTTTGCATAAGTAATGAGGAGATGAATGTTAATCTCCAAGACAATGGAGAAAATGTCTCCAGGGCATTTCAGAGAACTTTGTGGCAGCCCCTCACATCACAGACCCAGAGGTCTATGAGGAAAAAATGGTTTTGTGGGCTGAGCCCAGGGCCCCCCTGCTGTGTGCAGACTAGGGACTTCGACCCCTGTGTCCCAGCTGCTCTACCCATAGCTAAAAGGGACCAAGGTATGGCTCAGATAATAGCCTCAGCGGGGGCAAGTCCCAAGCCTTAGCAGCTCCCATGTGGTGTTGAGCCTGTGGGTGCCCAGAAATCAAGAACTGAGATTTGGGAACCTCTGCCTAGATTTCAGAATGTATGGAAATGCCTGGATGTCCAGGCAGAAGTCTGCTGCAGGGTGGGGCCCTCATGAAAAACCTCAGCTAGGGCAGTGGAAGGGAAATACTGGGTTGAGGCCCTTACACAGAGTGCCCACTGGAGCACTGCCTAGTGGAGCTATGAGAAGAGGGCCACTGCGCTCCAGACTACAGAATGGTAGATCCACCGAAAGCTTGCACTGTGTGCCTGAAGAAGCCACAGACACTCAACGCCAGTCTGTGAAAGCTGCTAGGAGGGAGGCTGTACCCTGCAAAGCCACAGGAGCGGAGCTGTCCATGACCATGGGAACTCACCTCTTGCATCAGCATGACCTGGATGTGAGACATGGAATCAGAAAAGATCATTTTGGAGCTTTATGATTTGACTGCTCTGCTGGATTCCAGACTTGCATAGGGCCTTTAGCGCCTTCATTTTGGCCAATTTCTTCCATTTGGAATGGTTGTATTTATCCAAGGCAAGTACCCTCACTGTATCTAGGAAATAACTAACTTGCTTTTGATTTTACACGTTCACAGGCAAAAGGGACTTGCCTTGTCTCAGATGAGACTTTGGACTGTGGACCTTTGAGTTAATGCTGAAATAAGACCTTGGAGGACTGTTGGGAAGGTATGATTGGTGTTGAAATGTGACGACATGAGATTTGGGAGGGGCCAGGGGCGGAATGATATGATTTGGCTGTGTCCCCACCCAAATCTCACCCTGAATTATAGTTCCCATAATTCCCATGTGTTGTGGGAGGGACCTGGTGAAAGACAACTGAATCACGGGGCCAGTTCCCCCATAGTGTTTTCATGCTAGTGAACAAGTCTCATGAGAGTTGATGGTTTTATAAGGTGTCTCCCCTTCCTCTTGGCTCTCATTCTCTCTTGTCTGCCACCATGTAAGACATGCCTTTCACCTTCTGCCATGATTGTGAAGCGTTCCCCAGTCATGTGGAACTACGAGTTCATTAAACCTCTTTTTGCTTTATAAATTACCCAGTCTCGGGTATGTTTTTAATGGCAGCATGAAAACAGACTAATACAATTGTGCCATTGCCTTCTAGCCTGGGTGACAGAGACCTTGTCTCAAAATAAAATAAAAAAACAAAATAAACAAAAAGAAGTAGCAAAAACTTTAATAAGAAATTGCCTGAAACACACTTATCTATACAGATTTGTGAAAACCATATAAAATATTATACATACATTAAACAATTATTTTTCTACATGTATAGCACACAAAACATTTTTCTATCTACTTTTATATTTATCATTATTTTTTAAAAATTTTTTGAGAGATGAGGTTTTGCTATGTTGCCCAGGCTGGTCTTGAACTCCTGGGCTCAAGTGATACTGCTACCTCAGCCTTCTAAAGTGCCAGAATTACAGGTGAGAGCCACCATGCCCAGCCTTTTTTTTTTTCCTGAGACAGAGTCTCCCTGTCACCCAGGCTGGAGTGCAGTTCAAGCAATTCTCATGCCTCATCCTCCCAAGTAGCTGGGATTTACTGGCATGCATCACCACATTCGGCTAATTTTTGTATTTGTAGCAGAGACAGGAATTTGCCATGTTGGCCAGGCTGGTCTCAAACTACTGACAGTGATCCGCCCATCTCAGTAACCCAGAGTGCTAGGAATTACAGGAAGGAGCCACCATGCCCGGCCCTATCACATATTTTTAAGATCTTACTATGTTGCTTTTACATTTGTTTTCACTATCCTCATAACATCCCCATGAGGAAATACAGAATACCCCTCATTTTAGAGATGGGAAAACTGAGGCTCCAAAAGGATGAAGTTCCCTGCCACAGCCTACAGTAAGCAGGTGAAAGAGGCTGGTAGAAAAACATGTATTATAGAATCACAGAGACACAGGAATCTAAACTTAGCTCTACTACTAGCTATGTGACTTGAGCCAGTTACTCAACTTTTCTGAGTCTGTTTCCTCATTTGTAAAATGCTATTAATACAATCACTTCGTTGGAATGCCGTAAGGATTTAGAAAGATACTACCTAAATGTAGAGTATAATGCTTTGGCACAGGGTTAAGTGGTTCTGATGTTCTTCTCATAACCTTCTTATGTAGACTTTGGGAAAGTCCTGGAAGAATTCTTTGTTAGCAGGTTTAATTCTGAGTCCATCACACGACAAAATACTTCTGTTTTACTATTACTTACCTAAAACAAAGCCAACCTGAATGGCTTTTTCCTTTACCGCAGCATCTGATTCTGCTATATAAGAGCACCGCCTACTGAATGAGTAGGCCAAGACTGAAGCAACTTTAACACCATGATCCATCAAAGCCTGAAAACAATGATGAAGCAAATGTCTGTAAGAAAAGAAAACGATTATTTTATAGAGGTAATTTATTTTTTTCCTTTTAGAAAGTGCTAACTGCTTCTCTTTTAAATAATAGCATCATTATTTTCCAGGATGGAATAAGATAAAAAGCATTTTGCCTTATCAATTATGAGGCCATAATTCAAAATTTAGCCTAACCTCTTTACTCAGTGGATAACTGAGTGATCCTACAACATTCAGGAAAAGTACACAATGTGTAACTTGATGACAAAGAAGGATGAAGCTAACTTTGAAAATCGGCTTTAAAAACCAAATTATAATTCACAATAAAAAGGTACATAACCCAATTTTTAAAAGGCAATGAAGATAGAAGAGATATTTCTTTTCTTTTTTTTTTGAGATGGAGTCTCACTTTGTCATCCAGGCTGGAGTGCGGTGGCGTGGTCTTGGCTCATTGCAACCTCTGCCTCCCTGGTTCAAGCGATTCTCCTGCCTCAGCCTCCCGAGTAGCTGGGACTACGGGCGTGGGCCACCATGCCCAGCTAATTTTTTGTATTTTTAGTAGAGACGGGGTTTCACCGTGTTAGCCAGGATGGTCTCAATCTCTTGACCTCGTGATCCACCCGCATCAGTCTCCCAAAGTGCTGGGATTACAGGCATGAGCTACCGTGCCCAGCTGATATGAACAGATGTTTCTCCACAAAAGATATACAAATGCCAATAAACATGAAATAAGAAGCTCAACATCATTAATGATCAGGGAAATGCAAACCAAAATCATAATGAGATACCCCTTTATACCCAATATAATTTTTTAAAATATGCATGTATTTATTTATTTAATTTATGTTTTAGAGACAAGGTCCTACTCTGTCACCCGTGCTGGAGAGAAATGGCATGATCATAGCTCACTGTAGCCTTGAACTGGTCTCAATTAAGATCCTCCTGCTTCAGCCTCCAGAGTAGCTGGGACTATGGACACCCATCACTGCACCCTACTATAATTTTTTTTGAAGTGTTGTCATGAGGTGAAAAAATGGGAATCCTCATACATTGGTGGTGGGAATATAAAATGATACGTCTGCTGTGAAAAGCAGTTTAGCGGTTCCCCAAAAAGTTAAACATAGGGTTACCATATTATATACTCAAGAGAATTGAGTATATACTCAAGAGAATTGAGACTATATAAACACACACACAAAATATTGCCCAACCACATTCACAGCAGCATTATTCATAATAGCCAAAAGGTGGAAACAACTCAAATGTTCATCAACAGATGACTGGATAAGCAAAATGTAGTATTATCCGTACAATGGAAAATTATTCAGCCCTTAAAAAGGAAAGTAGTACTGATGCAAGCAAAACATGAATGAACCTTAAAAACATTATGCTAAGTGAAAGTGTCAGTCACAAAAGACCATACAGTATAAGACTCAATTTATATAAAATATCTAGACTAGGCAAATCCATACAGACAGAAAGTAGATTAATGGTCAGCTAGAAACTGAGGAAATAGGTACTGTTAACTGAGGAAATGGTCAGCCAGGGTAAGAGGAAATGGAGTGACTGTTAATGATTTCTTTTTGTGGTGACCAAATTTTCTAAAATTAGACAGTGGTGATGGTTGCAAAATCTTGTGAATAGTTGAGTGGTAGAATTTAAAATGGTGAATTTTATGGTGTGTGAATTACATTTCAATAGAAAAAAACCTTTTAAACAAAATTGTAAATAACAGAGTCACTGCTTTGGATAAAGGAAAAAAAGGTCAAATTACATGCTTTTAGTTTCACAAATACATAAAACACTTACCAAAAGATTTGGATTTGGTGAAAGATAACCTAAGAGATGAAAAAGAGGTATTCCACTAAATCTTTACAACAGCCATGTTTAAAACTACCTAGAGAGATTCAAACCCCCAAAGTTATCCTTTCTTTAGAGTAAGGAAAGTTTTTAAAAGTTTTTCTAGTCTTCTTTTACCAAAATGAGAAGTTCTTATTTATTAGATTTTTTTTTTTACAGACTAACTTTTAATCAACTAATCAAGAAGTTTCTCTATAGTCTTAGTACACAGGCCACATTTCAAAGTTACCCCTGAACACTGAAATCATGCTATTTACTTACTTGTTTATTTATTTATTTTTTTTGAGACGGAGTCTCACTCTGTCACCCAGGCTGGAATGCAATGGCGCGATCTCGGCTCACTGCAACCTCGGCCTCCTGGGTTCAAGCGATTCTCCTGCCTCAGCCTCCCAAGTAACTGGGATTACAGGCATCCGCCACCATGCCCAGCTAATTTTTTTTTTTTTTTTTTTTTTTTTGAGACAGGGTTTTGCTCTTGTTGCCCAGGCTGGAGTGCAATGGCACGATCTTGGCTCACTGCAACCTCTGCCTCCCGGGCTCAAGCGATTCTCCTGCCCCAGCCTCCTGAGTAGCTGGTATTACAGGCATGTGCCACCATGCCCGGCTAATTTTGGATTTTTAGTAGAGACGGGGTTTCTCCATGTTGGTCAGGCTGATCTCGAACTCCCGACCTCAGGTGATCCACCCACCTCAGCCTCCCAAAGTGCTGGGATTACAGGCGTGAGCCACCGTGCCTGGCCTAAATTTTTATATTTTTAGTAGAAATGAGGTTTCACCAGGTTAGCCAGGCTGGTCTGGAACTCCTGACCTCAGGTGATCCACCCACCTTGGCCTCCCAAAGTGCTGGGATTACAGGTGTGAGCCACCACGCCCAGCCGACTTACTTGTTTATTATCTTATCATCCCTCTTGAAAATACAAACTCCATGAGGAAGGGACGTTGTAGATCCTACTCACTGCTATGGCCCCAGCATCTAAAACAGCATCTGGAAAATGTGATACATATACACAATGGTGTACTATTTAGCCATAAAAAAAGAATGAGATCCTGCCATTTGCAACAACATGGATGGAACTGTATGGTAAGTAAAATAAGCCAGCCAAGGAAAGAACAACTTTGCATGTAGTCACTTATTTGTGGGAGCTAAAAATTAAAATAATTGCATTCATGGATATAGAGAGAAGGAGGATGGTTACCAGAGGCTGGGAAGGGTAACTGGGAGAGGGGGGCAAATAAAGATGGTTAATGGGTACAAAAAAATAGAAAGAATGAATAAAGCCTATTATTTGCTAACACAACAGGATTATAGTCAGAAATAATTTAGTTCTACACTTTAATAACTGAAAGAATATAACTGGATTGTCTGTAACACAAAGGATAAATGCTTGAGGTGATGGACACCTCATTTATGTTGATGTGATTATTACACATCGCATGCTTGTATCAAAGTATCTTAACCCATAAATAAATGCACCTACTATGTACCCCTGAAAACTTAATGGCAGTTAAACTTAGGGAAGAACACTAAACAGAACAGCAAGCAGGCCAGGCATGGTGGCTCACACCTGTAATCCCAGCACTCTGGGAGGCCAAGGCAGGTGGATGGCTTGAGCTCAGGAGTTTGAGACCAGCATGGGCAACATGGCGAAACCCCGTCTCTACTAAAAATACAAGAAAATCAGACAGGTGTGGTGGCACATGCCTGTATTCCCAGCTACTTGGGAGGCTGAGGGGAGAATTACCTCAGCCCTGGAAGTCGAGGCTACAGTGGGCCATGATCTTGCCACTGCACTCCAGGCTGGGTGATGGAAGAGAGACCCTGCCTCCAAAAAAAAATAAAAAACACAAAACAGCAAGTACAATGAAAAGCCAGATCTGTAGCTAATACTACTACATGATGATACAACAGGAAGATGAATTCAATCTCCCTTTCTTGAACTCAAAAAGCTAAACTGTCAAAGTGTTAACTTTCCAAAAGTGATAGGAGGAGGCAGAACAAATGATCTTTTTGTCGCCAAGCTTCTGTTTGGGTTGTACAATTAGTGCCACAATATTTTTACTATATTCTCTATGATGTTGGCAAAGACTCCTTGAGTTGTCTTAAATTGCTTTCAAATTCTAATTCTAGGTATATATCTAATAGATATGTATACATATGTTCACCAAAAAACATTTACAAGAATGTTCAGGGCAGCATGAGTTATAATAGCTAAAAACTGGAAGCAGCCCAAATGTTCATCAATAATAGAATGAATACTATTTTCATGTAATAAAACACCATATATATACAGCAACGAGAATGAACACACTGTATTTGTATGTAACATAGGTGATTCTCATAAAACAATACTGGAGAAAAAAAAAGCCAGACACAAAAGGGCACAAACTGTATATTTTATTTAATATGTTCTAAAACACATAAAATTAATCTAGTGGTTACCCTAGGGGAGGGGAAGTAGTGACTGGAAACAGGTAAGACAGGGGTTCTGGTAGCAACTGCAAATAAACATAATTCATAGTGAAATAATACCAGGTATATGGAAAAACTAATTGAGACAATTTCTCAATGAAACAATGTTATAGATTTATATTGGTACTACACTTATGAGGCAAAATTATTTTATTCACTCTAAATTTTCTGATACAATCATATTTATGAAATAATTTCTAAACTATATAAGAAATTAGTCAAAAATAAACATAACTTCATGCATTAACAAGAGGTGTAGTGGAATTTTAAAAAACAAGTAACTTAAAAATGAATTTATGTTCCAGCACTTTGGAAGACTGAGGCAAGGGGATCACTTGAGTCCAGGAGTTCAAGACCAGCCTGGGCAACATAGCGAGACCTCATCTCTACTAAAAATAAAAAAAGTTAGTTGGGTGTGGTAGCATGTGCCTATAGTCCCAGCTACTCAGGAGGCTGAGGTGGAAGGATGGCTTTGAGCCAAGGAGAGTTTCAGTTTGCAGTGAGCTACGAACATGCCACTGAACTCCAACCTAGGCAACAGAGCAAGACCCTGTCTCAAAAAAAAAAAAAAAAAAAAAAGTATGGAAAACAGTATGACAGTTCCTCAAAAAAACTGGAAATAGGAGTTGGGTGCAGTGGCATAGTGCCTGTAGTCCCAGCTGGCAGGGAGGCTGAGAAAGAGGATCCCTTGAGCCCAGGAATTCGAAGGCAGCCTGTACAGCATAGTGAAACTAAGTGTCTTAAAAAATAAACAAATAAAAATAGAATTACCATATAATCCAGCAATTCAACTTCTGGGTATATAACCAAAATAACTGAAGGCAATTTCTACACTCATGTTCACAGCAGTATTATTCAAACTAGCCAAAAGGTAGAAAGAACCCAAATATCCATTGACAGATGAATAAACAAAATGTGGTATATGCACACAATGGAATATAATCTAGCCATAAAAAAAAAATAAAATTCTAACTTGTGCTACAACATAGATGAACCTTAAAAACATGATGCTAAATGAAATATAACACACACAAAAGGATAAACATTATAGGATTCCACTTATATGGGATATCAGAGCAGTTAAACTCATCTACAAGTACAATGGTGGCTACACAGGATAAGGGGAAGAGGGAATGGGGAGTTACTATTTAGTGGGTAAGGAGCTTTTGTTTAGGGTAATGAAAAAGTTCTGGAAATAAATGGTGTTGATGGTTGCACAATGTGAATATACTTTTCTTTTTTTTTTTTTTTTTTGAGACAAAGTCTTGCTCAGTCGCCCAGGCTGGAGTGCAGTGGCGCCATCTTGGCTCACTGTAAGCTCCGCCTCCCAGGTTCATGCCATTCTCCTGCCTCAGCCTCCCAAGTAGCTGGGACTACAGGCGCCCACCACCACGCCCAGCTAATTTTTTGTATTTTTAGTAGAGACGGGGTTTCACCATGTGAGCCAGGATGGTCTCGATCTGACCTCGTAATCTGCCCAACTCAGCCTCCCAAAGTGCTGGGATTACAGGCGTGAGCCACTGCACCTGGCCCACAATGTGAATATACTTAATGCCACTAAATTCGGTTAAAATGGTAAATTTTGTGTTATGTATATTTTACAATTTAAAAAAAAAGAATTTACCTTTTATCCAAAGCTCTCAGTACTTTAGCAAAAACTTCCAATTCACAAAATTCACTGCCCAGTTGACATAATCGTCCCTGTTGGTAAAGCTGAAACAAAAAACAATTAATTATGACATAAAAGTTTTGCAATTTAATTCTTATTTTTACTTTAATCATATCTGATAAATGTAACTTGATTAATTCCAGAAAAGATGCTTAAGAGAAATGTAACACTAACAAATTTCTGCAATTGATATAAAAATATTTTAATAGTAGTATATAATCGTTACAAATTGGTATTTGTAAACCACCTAGAACAGTACCTGGAACAAGGCAAGTACTACAAAGCGCTGCATAATTATGTATTTATTAAATACAGATAAAAATCATTGAAGAAATGTTAAACTGTTAACTTTTTTACTTAAAACTGGAGAGTCAATGTAAAATTATCAAAATAATAGCAAAAACAGAGCTGGTCAATACGGCCACCTCAAAAATCTCAGTTCAGTCCTGGGTATAACACTTCAAAAACACACCAATAGTAAAGCATGTCTATAATAATACAGGATGGCAGGATTTCTAATCATGTCATAATCGTTTATACATTCTGACTTTTTAGGACTACAATTTAAAATAACATTTTAAGGCTGAGTGCTGTGGTTTGAGCCTGTCATTCCAGCTACTAAGGAGGCGAAGGAGGGAGTATTGCTTGAGGCCAGGAGTTTGAGACAGGACTGGGCAACATAATAAGATCCTATTTATAAATATAAATAAATTTATAAAATATAAACTGCACCTGTAGTCCCAGTTATTCGGGAGATTGAGGCAAGGGGACTGCTTGAGCCCAAGAGCTGGAGACCAGCCTGGGCAACAGAGTGACACCCTGTCTCTACAATACAGCCTGAGTGAGAGTGAGACCTTGTCTCAAAAACATCATAAATAAATAAACAAAAAGACAAATACTATTGTCCCTCCCTGCAACCCACCTCAATGTCACCAAATGCTTTTTTTCTGAGACGGAGTCTTGCTCTGTTGCCCAAGTGATACAATACCAACAGCGTGTAGAGGTGCAATCTCGGTTCACTGCAACCTCTGCCTCCCAGGTTCAAGCAATCCTCCCACTCAGGATCCCTAGTAGCTAGGATTACAGGCATGCATCACCACGTCTAATATTTTTTTGTATTTTTAGCAGAGATGGGGTTTCACCATGTTGGCCAGGCTGGTCTTGAACTCCTGATCTCAAGACCAAATGCTTCTGAATTTACATGTGCTATATAAATAATACAGTGCCCTAGAAAGCAGGATTTATTTGACTTTATATTACAGACACTTAACAGCTCAGTTGATGAGAACATGGGTTTCATAAAGAGGACAAGGTCACTCTCAAAATGGGCCAGTTTACTTGGTGCACAGAAAACATAAAAAAACCTGAGCACACTCTTGGGCATAAATCACTAGTCACAATGGAGGTCAGGTCAAATTAGGTAAATATATTTATCCAAATCCATAATGACTACTTCAAAAAATGTATAACTGCTACAGGGGAGAGGGGACAGGGACCACCACATGCTCAGGAAGGAAAGGCAGCAATGTTATCTTCACATAATAGTTAGACATTTATGTTAACATTAAAACCTTCATCAGGAAAGATTTGTTATTTATTTATTTACTTATGGTCTTACTCTGTCACCCAGGCTGCAGTACAGTGGCACAATTATAGCTCAATGCAGCACTGCAGTCTCGAACTCCTGGGCTCAAGTGATCCTCCTGCCTCAGCCTCTCTGAGTGCTGGGGTTACAGGTGTGAGCCACTGCGTTCAGCCTATATTTGCTATTCGTATAGAGGACTTTGTTTTCTGCTACAGAAAAGTAAGAGTTTCTGGGAATGCATGCTGTAAAATTCACTACTATTAATTGCTGTCTTATTTACTTGACAACCAAAACAGAACAACTCAGGGAAAATAAAGCTGAGAACTTATGACCACATTCTCGTAACATGGGCTTAACAAGGGGATAAATTTCTGATTTGTGACAGAACAGTTATCACAATAAATATAAACACACACTCCAAAAACACTAAGATAAAAATCTTCGCTTCTTACCAAAATGACTGACTCATCATTATCAAACTTAAGGCTTAGAATTTCTTTTTAAAAATAGAATAAATAGGCTGGGCATGGTGGCTCACACCTGTATTCCCAACACTTTGGGAGGCCAAGGCAGGTGGATCACCTGAGGTCAACAGTTCGAGACCAGCCTGGCCAACATGGAGAAACCCTGTCTCTAATAAAAATACAAAAATTAAACAGGCCCGTGGTGGCGGGCACCTGTAATCCCAGCTACTCAGGAGGCTGGGGCAGAGAATCGCTTGAACTCAGGAGACAGAGGTTGCAGTGAGTCAAGATCATGCCACTGCACACCAGTCTGGGTGACAGAGCAAAACTCTGTCTCAAAAAAAACAAAAAAAGAATAAACAAAAACAAGTTATACAACTACTTTGCCTAAAAACAAAATTTATGTTATTTTACAATTCACCATATTCCTTTAATGACTAAAAACTGGTGTATCCTACTAAATGAGATTCTATATTTGGCTGTTTAAATTTTTCTTTTTTGGGGGGGGGCGGGGGGACAGAGTCTCTCACTCTGTCCCCAGGCTGGAGTGCAGTAGCGTGATCTCAGCTCACTGCAACCTCCGCCTCCCAGGTTCAAGTGATTCTCCTGCCTCAGACCCCTGAATAGCCTGGACTACAGGCACGCGCCACCACGCCCAGGTAATTTTTGTATTTTTAGTGCAGACAGGGTTTCCCCATTGTTAGCCAGGATGGTCTCGATCTCTTGACCTCGTGATCTGCCCACCTCGGCCTTCCAAAGTGCTGGGATTACAGGTATGAGTTTCTCTAGTTAATAAAATAGGATCACATTTAAATTGTGGGGAAAGGGTAATTTGTTTCAACTCATCCTTACCAAGTTTATCTAAAAAATGCAAAGTAATTTTTTTTTTGAGACGGAGTTTCGCTCTTGTTGCCCAGGCTAGAGTACAGTGGCATGAACTTGACTCACTGCAACCTCCATCTCCCAGGTTCAAGTGATTCCCTTGCTTCAGCCTCTGGAGTAGCTGGGATTACAGGTGCCCGCCACCACACCCAGCTAATTTTTGTATTTTTAGTAGAGACGGGGTTTCACCATGTTGGCCAGGCAGGTGATCCACCTGCCTCGGCCTCCGAATGTGCTGAGATTACAGGTGTCTGCCACTGTGCCAGGCCTGAAATTAATACATTTTTATGAATTAAAGGGGTTTTTGGATACCAATCCAGAATAAAAATAGCTCCTAATCATACAGAGATCTTTTATGTGTCAGGCACTGTTCTCAGTGCTTTTCATAAATTATTCATTCTATCCTTTTACAGACAAGGAAACTGAGGCATTCAGAGTTAAATAACCTTCTCAAAAATCACAAAATTAGGATAGGGCAAAGCAGGAATCTGACCCAGGCAGTTTGTTTCTATATCCATGTTCTTAACAACTTACCCTACATTGCCTCTTGAAGATAATATAAAAGGAAATTTTTTAAAGTATTAAATGGACAATTTAAAATATTTTTATAGAAATGATAGACGATTTAAAGGTTAATCCCCTCATAGATTCATACATCTTATGAAACAGAGCTTAGAAAAGAGGAAACTGATGCTTTGTGTTCCGGTAATGATTCTCATATAAGATTTTTAAAACTTATTTTAGTTCATTACAGTGTTTATATTATGTACCTGTAGCATAATGAAGCTATTAAAGGGCTATATCAACTACTTTTAGCTGTTGTTTTTCCTTAAAGAAAGGAAAAACAAGCTTATTTCTAGAAGTAGGCAAATTATCTCCCACCAGAGATAAAAATAGACAATAAAAATACAATTAAAACAATATTATACAGGTATGAAGACAGACCAACCAACAGAACAAAATGCAATGTTCAGAAACAGACCTTAGTGTATATATAAAAATTAACGTATGACAAAAGCAGCATTTTAAGACCACTGAGGAAAGAAAAAAATTACTTAATAAAGAGTTCATAAAAATGGGTAAACAAAGATGCCTACCTAATAAAATGTAACAAAAATGAATTCCAGATTTATCAAAATTTTAAATGGAATAAATTATATCAGAGCCTTATTAAAAGCTACCTGCTAACATTGCCTTCCTAAGCACTACATCACGGGTAAAATTCAAGATCAGCCTGGCCAACATGGTGAAACCTTGACTATAAACAAAAACTGGCCCGGCATGGCTGCGTGTCTCAGCTACCTGGGAAGTTAAGGCACAATAATTGCTCGAAGTCAGGAGGCAGAGGTTGCAATGAGCTGATATTGTGCACTGCACTCTAGCCTGGGTGACACCGAGACTCTGTCTCAAAACCAACCAACCAACCAAAAAACACCTATGTTCTAAGAAAACCTGAAGGCACATAATTGCAGACACACACTCACACATACCAATGAAACCTGTGCATCTCATTCATGTTTGGAACTCTCTCAGAGACTCTTTAAATAGCCAAAAACTTCAGAAATGAAAAGGGGTTGTTATCAAGGAAAAATGACCACGCTACATGAAGTGAACAAGTTCCTGAAAAGTGTAATAAAATTCCACCTTTGCTTCTAAATTGTATATCTACATTATATATGCATCATATAAGAACCTGAAATAATACAATGCTTATATATATGTATAGGATTTATATCTCAAATATTTCACCTAGATTACTGTAAAAGTTTGATAGAATTAGTCTCTCTACTACCACTTGTCTCCCTCAAAATCACTGTCCACACAGTAGCCAGAATCGTAAAAAAAAAAAAAAAGAAAAACTCATATCATGCCATTCTCGTTTAAAACCTTTATTTAAATGGCACTCTCACTGTAGAACAAAATCCAAAATCTGTAATGTTACCTCTGAGCTCCTAAAAGCCACGTGACCCCTGCTTTTTTTTTTTGCTTTTTTTTTTTTTTTTTTTTTTTTTGAGATGGAGTTTCGCTCTTGTCACCCAGGCTGGAGTGCAGTGGTGCCATCTCGGCTCACTACCTCTGCCTCCCAGGTTCAAGCAATTCTCGTGCCTCAGTC